ATTTAAAACATATGCTAAAACCAAAATCTCTTATGAGATTATGTGAATGCTGTGTTAAGGCCGGCCAGGACTAAAGTATCAAATTATTTTAAAAAATCAATGCCTATAGCCCTGGCTGGTTTGACTCAGCGGTTAGAGCATTAGCCTGCAGCCCAGAGAGACCCAGGTTCGGTTCCCACTAAGGGCACGTACCTCGGTTGCAGTTTGTCCCTGGCCCTGGTTGGGTCGTGTGGGTGGCAGCCACTCGATGTGTCCCTTTCATGTCGATGTCTCTCTCTCTCTCTCTCTTCCTCTCTCTCCCTCCCGCTCTATCTGAACATAAAATGGAAAAATGTCCTTGGGTGAGGATAAAATAAATAAATAAAAATTTTAAAAAGACTAAAAAAATCAATGCCCGTATCAGTCACCAAGAGACGAATCTCTTGAACTCTTTCGGAACAATCTAACCCTAGACTCACACAACTGCCTGTAGATATCACAATGGAATTCCCGGACAAAGCATTTAACCTGCTTTATTTTTATTTTTTTAATCCTCACCCGAGGATATTTTTCCATTTTTTGTACAGATAGAGTGGGAGGGAGAGAGAGGAAGGGAGAGAGAGAGAGAAACATCGACGTGAAGGGACACATCGAGTGGCTGCCACCTGCACGACCAACCAGGGCCGGGGACAAACTGCAACCGAAGTACGTGCCCTTAGCGGGAACCGAACCCGGGTCTCTCCCGACCGCAGGCCGACGCTCTAACCGCTGAGCCAAACTGGCCAGGGCTAACCTGCTTTCTTATAGATGGTGACTTCTGCATAAGCTCATCTTCAAATAGCTAAACTGCAACATTATGGTTCGTGCACTAAATGGAACACAGTTTCAGTATCAGATCCTACAATAAATGGCTGTGTATCCCTATGCAGTGGTTTCATTAGTGTGACATCCAAAAGAGTGCCTCAGATCGTGCTGAGGAACACAGTCTTCAAGATTCTAACTTACTCCATTCAGTGATCAGTCCAGCAAAGTTATGCTGACATTCTGATGGACTCTATTCCACTACATTGTACTGATGTAACATTCCTGGACAAAAATATAAAGATCACAGTTGTTCATAATATACTTGCTCCATTTCATAGACTGAAAAAAAATCCTGCCAACTTTTTGATGATCCCTGAAGGGCAACATTTCAAATATAATATTCTTCTCTGGACACTGAACAGTATTTCAGTTATAAATGACTGCTTGGTTAACATTTGGGTCAAATCCCAGAACAAAACATTTTTTTAAATAAAATTGTTTATGAAATGTTGCAGTTTAAAACTATCTACAGACCTATTTAGACAAAGCCAAAATGGACCAATTTATGACTAGATAAAATAAAAAATGTCGTTGATTAGCCTAGAACAGCAACATAAAAGATTCTGAGTTGCAAGGCAAAGCAAATGATATGCTGCAATACACTGTAGAAGGGAATAGAGACCACTTGGGAAATGAGTCACTTGCAGTCATATTTTCCAGATATCTTACTTAACCCTTTCTGTTCAGAAACTTAATTTTATCTCTTAGAATTCCCTCTAAAATACACCAATATGGCCCTGGCCGGTTTTGCTAGTGGTTAGAGTGTTGGTCTGCAGATGAGGGAGTCTGGGTTCGATTCTGGCCAAGAGCATGTACCCCGGTTACGATTTGTCCCCAGCCCAGGTTGGGGTTGTGTGGGTGGCAACCAACTGATGTGTCTCTTTCACATTGATGTTTCTCTCTCTCTCTCTCCCTGCACTCCCACTCTGTCTGAAGGTAAAAATATCCTTAGGTGAGGATTAAAAAAAATAAAAATAAAATACACCATTATGGTTCTGGCCAGTTTAGCTCAGCAGTTAGAGCATCAGCCTGTGGTTTGAGAGATCGCAGGTTCACTTCCCGGTCAAGGGCATGTACCTGGGTTGCAAGTTCAATCCCCAGCCTCAGTTAGGGTCACGAAGGAGGCAATCAATCAATGTCTCTCTCACATTGATGTTTCTCTCTCTCTCTCTCTCTCTCTCTCTCTCTCTCTCCCTTCCTTCTATCTAAAAAACATCATTCTTGGGTGAGGATTAACCAAATAAATAAAACATACCATTATGATCCTACCTTTTAAAATAGCACATAAGCAAAGTATTTTCTTCTTTTCTTAATAAAGGGTCATCATTATGAACATTAGTCGGAGATATGGTAAAGATACAGATTATTGCAGATTTACATAACATGGGATAAGTCTGCATTAATGGCTATATCAAACTTCATTTCCTTCAAAAAAAAAAAAAACTGCCAGTGATACCTTGTTTTTTGTTAATTTAATAATTTTCCATAAAAGTATAATAAAACACAGAAATTAATATAATTATCCTATGCAGTATAATGTAACTACCTTTTTTAGAAATTAAATAGTGGGCTGAATCCTGATACCAGCCACCTCCAAATGCTTTCAATAGCCTCTGGAAAAAAAAAATCAATGCTTTTCCCTTCTTACTATCAATGCCATTCAGCTCATCCCTGGCTTTCAAAACTTTACCCAATTTCTTGAACTAGAAGCTTACCCCTATTCTTTTTTCTCCCTTGCACTAAGTTTGTTTATAGAGTGTATCTCACTTAATTTCAAAAATCTCTAATGGCATGAATGAGGGAAGACATAGTCTACACATTTTCATTTCACTGAAAATAGAAAGAAGACAAGACATATCTGTTGAACGGGGCATCGGGTCTTGGTTTTCTTCAAGTCCCACTTCACACTTCATTTTGAAGGGAACACCACACCTTGGCAACACTTTTATGAGATGATTCAGACTCTCACATGGTATCTGGGTAGGATCAAGTTTCCTATAACTTCTATAATATTTCACTTTTTGAAAAGTTCTTGTACAGCCCTGGCTGGTTTTGCTCAGCAGTTAGAGCGTCGGCCTGCGGTCCAGAGAGACCCGGGTTCGGTTCCCACTAAGGGCATTTACTTCGGTTGCAGTTTGTCCCCGGCCCTGGTTGGGTCGTGCGGGTGGCAACCCCTCAATGTGTCCCTTTCACATTGATGTTTCTCTCTCTCTCTCTCCGTCCCATTCTATCTGAACAAAAAATGGAAAAAAAATGTCCTCTGGTGAGGATAAAAAAAAAAAGTACATGAAGAAAGAACTCAAAAAATGTTAGCTTGAGTCCTGGCTGGGTAGGTCAGTTGGCTGGAGCGTCATCCCATGCACCGAAAGTAGCTGGTTCAATACCCAGGTTTTGGGTTCAATCCCTGGTTGGGATATTATGGGAGGAAATAGATCAATGTTTCTCTCTCACACTGATGTTTCTTTCTTTCTTTCCCCCACTCCCTTCCTCTTTCTCTAAAACTGATTAAAAAAAAATCAATGGATACATAAATAACTGGAACAACAAATAGATGTTTTTCTCTCTCTCTAAAACAAACAAACAAACAAACAAACAAACAAATAAATAAATCTAATATGCTACTAAATGTCAGGTTTAAATCTGGTGGCAGAATAACTGTTTCCAAAAACCAAGGAAACCAAGTATCAAGGTCCTCAAGATTTTCCCTTTTTTCAAAATGCTTTCCCATGAAACACAGCCAAGATGGCATCTGTTAGGAGGCAATTACAGGGGTGTGTGGTTTTAAATTACGTGGTAAATTTTCCATTCATATTTTAGCCAGTCCCTCTCAGTCCATGGGACAATGCTCAATCCATTGAGCCACATAGGCCGAGCAAGAAAAAATATTTTAAAAATAGAATAAAATAAAAAGAATGAAATCTTGCTATCTGCAACAACATGGATGGACCAAGAGGGTATTGTGCTGAGTGAAGTAAGTCATACAAAGACAGATGTCATATGATTTCACTTACATGTGAAATCTAAGAAACAAAATAAATAAATAAGCAGAACAGAAACAGTCTCATAGATACAGAGAACATTTTGACAGCTGCCACATGAGAGGTGGGTTGGGGAACTGGATGAAAAAGCTAAAGAGACTAATAGGTACAAGTTAGTAGTTACAGAATAGTCACAGGGATGTAAAGCACAGCATAGGGAATATAATCAATAATATTGTAATAACTATGTAGGGTGTCAGATGGGTACTAGATTTATCAGAAGTGATCACTATGTAAGTTATATAAATGTCAAATCATTGGGTTGTACACCTGAAACTAATATTATATGTCAACTGTAATTGAAAAATAAAACATGATTTTAAGAAATCAATTTTAAAAGAAAATAAAACAAAATGTAAAAATGTCTCTCCTCTGTCATCCTCAGTAAAAAGTATTTTCTACCAAAGTTAAAAAAAAAATTAAGCTTTTCTTCACGTACTTAATAAGATATAGGATAAATAATTTCCTTTTCTGCATGCAATTTGGCACAATTTACTCCAGCTTAGGTGAGTTAAGGATTTTTTAAAAATAAAGGTAGTTTACATTTGTTTCCAATGAGGTCTCTTAAATTAAAGGACAGAGAAAATATTAAAATACCTTTAAGCAATTCATGATAAAATCATGGTGATCTGCACAGAACAAATCATTCCTTCTACATAGGTAATATAAATGATAATGATTGCCTTTTTTAAAAAGTCAAAGATAAAAAAATTCTATAATCTGATACCATAATAATTTGTGATACCCCACCTCCAGAAATAAAAAGAAAGAAACAACCTCATATAAAGTTACTATTACCCGTCAAAAAACAGTCCTGGCCGGTTTGCTCAGTGGTTAGAGCATCAGCCTGCGGACCAGAGAGTCCTGGGTTGGGTTCCTGCTAGGGGCACGTACCTTGATTGCAATCTGTCCCCGGCCCCAGTTGGGGTCATGTGGGTGGCAACCAGTTGATGTGTCTCTCTTACATAGATGTTTCTCTCTCTCTTCCCCCCCACTTCACGCTCTATCTGATAAAAAAATAAATAAATAAAAATAAAAACAATAAGCAAAAAAGGAATGTCTTGGCCAGGAAATTAAAATGGAGCTACATGCCACATCAAATAAAAATCTCCTACATACCTTGATCGATACAACCTTCAGCAAGAGCAAAGAGCTGAGGTGAGCGTTCCTCAAGCAGCTGCTGGTGAACATGCACACATCTCAAAGTCCACCATGGCAAACTCTGGAAAAAGAAATCACCCTATAAGTTGAAATAATGGAAACTTTGGGAAACAAATTTTACATAAACTGAAATTTAAAATATATTTTTTTACATTTGTGAAATTGAACTTATTCCATAAGCTTCCCCAGCCACTGCTATGTTTTTAGCAGTACTACCCAAATCTACTTCATCTTCCACAAGAACACCCAGACACATCGAACTCACTATGTCCTCCACTAAAACAAACAGTGAAGAGTGAAGGCCTCTCTGCTGCTGCCCAGCACCATCCTTCTTTCTCAGGAAGATCCATGACAAAGGTTCATATTCTTCTCTGTCTTCCTCTATGAGTGTGCGTGTGTGTGTAAGTTATATTTTTGATAAATTCATTGAAGTATCAAGCATGATCATGCACTGAATCATCTATTAAAACTGTTACTTTGAATTATATTGTGTGAAGCTATGAGAAATTAATTTTCCTTTTTTTAAAAAGCAATACCTACTAATAATAAGATATAATGCTTAATTACCAAAAGCATTACTTTACTAGAACTTAACTTCTGCATTTGATTGAGGTAAAACTGCCTGGTTCGCCTTCCAAACTGCTACTCACAACAGTTGCAACAATAACATGATCACAAATGAATTTTGACTCCATGACAAAGTCCTTTCTAATTATTAATGCTGGTTCCTCCATCCATGTAAGGAAAAGTAGAATTATCTAACAAAAAGAAGTTTCGCATCATTTTTAATGTAATTCCCTGAGGTGTTACCTCATTCTGTTACTATCAGTAAAGCTAATGAAGTCAGTATACACATCAATTATCTGTCCCTCATCCTCTGTCAGCAGTAGTGAGTCAGGGTTGGCAGCAGATTCTTTCCTGTCCTAGACATGGGAATTTAGATCCAAAGAGACTGCCTTTGTAAGAAAACATATGGCGTAAGATGTTGAACTCTTAAAAATCAGGACTATTAACTAACTCTTAACCCAAAATCTTTATACAGAAGTAGGAGTGCAAAACAAATAAAGCACAGTCTATGCTCTACTAGAAAAATAAGAGGGCCTTTTCCTATTTGCCAAGAATTGCTTAATAGAACATTTGAGTCATTAATAAAAAAGGAAATTTGAAGCCTTGCTTTAGATAGTTTCTAGATCCTGTCTCCTGATTATAGGACTTACTACAGAATCTCATTGAGAAGTCACACCAGTCAACAACCTCCTAGAAGGCAGGGAGCGTCCGTGTACTCAAAAGACACCTAATAAAGGCATGCTGACTTATTCCATGTTATAAATAAGAAAACTGATATTCAGATAAATTAGCATAAGGTCACACAGTTGTTAAGTGGCTGAGTCAGACAAACTGTGGTCTGATTTCAAAGCCAGGACTCTTTTCACTCAACATTCACATATTACTAATATCAGTCTACATATTTCACAGGTTAAAGGATGGGGAAATCATCTTTTACAGTTCCACAAAAATAATATTGCAATAAAACAATTTGATATACTCCTTAGGAGCCAATCCATTCAAAATTAATTTAAAAGATTAAAACTAACTTGGATAAGTATGTTGTGCTTTTTAATCACTTTACCTTCATTTATTAAAATGTCATTTTTAACATTATCATTTAGAGAATAATATACTCAAGACCCAAAGAGAAAAAAAATAATGTTTCAGTTGAAAGGCAAGATTTCTGCATGGTGATGTACAAGAAAACAGTACTGAAAGCTGAAGTCAAAAGTCGTTAAGCATATGCCTAGAAATGATGGTAAGTTGTCTCTCCAACCCTACCAAGTACGATTTCACTTGTTCTCCCAGTTGCTAGTAGTACATGTATCTTTATTAATGGTGCTTAATATGCTTGCTGATAAAAGTTTTCCACCAACAAAACTTAAAATTTGTATCACTCACACGTTAATGACTATTAGTCTCACTAGAAAAAAAATACTGCCATCTGGCAGCCTCATCCTTGGTGATACTTTCTTCAGAGCCAAGTATTAGTCTGTAGGACCATTTAACTCAGATTAATTTGGGAAACATTTTTTAATTCAAACTAATTTCGATTAAAAAAAAACAAAGATGAGACCTTATATCTGCTAGGACATGTTGAAACACATCTATTAAAACCCCTTCCAGTACAACTGATTCCAAATAGATCTCTGGCTCTCATGAGAGCTGCTGATGGAGATATCACTGCTCTTCTTGCCTCTTCTCTTTGGAATTTACATGCTTATGAAAGTAAGCCCTCATACTGTACACACCAAGTCTAAATTTTGCCCATAGAAATATTGTCTTTCTTAAACTTTTCAGCCAACATTTAGAAATTGGGAGACTTCCCATAAAATTGAGATTTACTGTTGGCAATACAGGGTCTGAGTCTCCAAGTTGCAACAATCAGAACAGGAGTAAGCAAGGTACAGCCTATGGGCCAAATGCAGCCCATCACCTGTATTTGTACAGCCCAAGAAGTAGAATAGTTTGACATTTTAAAATCATTAAAATAATACAAAAAGATAACATTTTGTAACATGTAAAAATATATAGAATTAAATTTTTTTTTAAATCCTCACCCAAGGCTATGTTTATTGATTTTTTGAGAGAGAGAGAGAGAGGAAGGAAGGGAGAGCGAGAACATCGATGTGAGAGAGAATCACTGATCAGTTAGTTACCTCCCATACACATCCCAACTGGGCATTGAATCCACAACCTAGGTATGTGCCCTGACCGGGAGTGGAACCTGCAACGGTTGGGACGATGCTCCAACCAACTGAGCCATCCACCCATGGATAAAATTAAAATTTTAGTGTCCAGCCCTGGCCGGTTGGGCTCAATGGTTAGAGTGTCGGCCCACGGATCAGAGAGTCCGGGTTCAGTTCCCACTAAGGGCACGTACCTCGGCTGCAGTTCGTCCAGGCCCCGATTGGGGTCATGTGGGTGGCAACCACTCCATGTGTCTCTCTCACATCAATGTTTCTCTCTCTCCTCCTCCTCCCTCTCTCCCTCCTGCTCTATCTGAAGATAAATGCAAAATGTTCTCAGGGGAGGATAAAATAAATTAAAAAATAAAATAAATAAAAATTTAGTGTCCATAAATAAAGTTTTATTGGTAAAACAGTCACCCCCATTGGTTCACATAGAGTCTACAGCTGCTCGCCCAGCACAGGGCAAAGCTGCGGAGCCCGGAGACGGAGGCGTTAGGACACGACGGCCAAAGCACGGTGGACACCTCCACTGAACCTCCACAGACCTTCTCTGTGCGTCTTGTGGTTTCTGTCATCTCCTACCGCCTGTCAGCTTTCTGAGTCCCAGTGTTGCTTCTCTCTGATTCACACCTAACCTAAAGAAACCATGTCACAGATGCTCACATGTTCTGCTCAATCCAACTCAAATTCTGAAACAAGGTTGGGCGTGAGCCAGGAAACTAAGCTCCACTGCGATGGTGTTAGAACTCTGCCTAGTGCTCATTAACTTACATGAAATTCATAAGAGACTATGGAAGACTGTTTTAAACATATATTTCAGATTCAGAGAATGAACATTTCATACACATACAACATACATACCTACATATATGCAATCCTATTGAAGAGGCTCAATATCATCTCATTTTACACTAGATAAATCTCATAAGGGGCAAAAATTTTTGCTTATTTCCATCAGATTTTAAAATGAAATACCTATAAGGTAACTTTGTCAACGTCACAGCTAAAGTCTAATGCTAATCAGGATGAAAGTCACACATGGGGATGAATCTCCTGGCTCCTTTTCTCCCCTTACCTGAATCGCTGTCAGTTTGTGTCTTAGATTCACTAGGATAACTCGCGCCAATAACAGCAGGATAGGGTTCGAGGTCAGGCTGTAGATTGCTTCACCATCTAGAATGAGCAGACTCAGAACAACTGCATCCATTGCTTTCACCTGGAAAAAAAATCATAAGCTAAGATGATATAATTTAACAAAATATTATTAATCTTTCTATGTCTTATAATTACACATATTTTCCAGTCACTCCAGCTCTGTAGCAGACACTGATCTGTCACACAGCAAATGGCGCTAGACAGAACCATAGCATCATAAATGCCCTGAGAGACCTAAAATCCGGCCCACCCTGACAGAGCCGCCATCTGCTTGTACTTCAGAGGAACAGGGACTCAAGACAGTGCCAGCACTGAAGAGGCATCATGACTTTATAGACTACTTACAACAGAATGTCATCTCAATAAAAAGTATCCCTATGTTCAAGTATTTAAACACATTTCACAAATGCATCTCTCGTTGGCGAATGTCGCTAAGAGCACATCTGTGCCACAACTGCCATTGAGCCAACAAGCCCTTACACAGCAGCACGGGGCAGGCACACGACCACGGAGCAGAGAGCAGAGAGCTGTCACCAAGGGATGCCTGCGAAGAGCCCACCCCTTGACTGAAGAGATGTTCACCATGGACAAGATCCTGGGTTTCTAAATTGTGAACTGCATAATTTTGACAGCTGCCACAAAATAGACAGCAAGAATGCTTAACTGTTGGGAATATGGGTTCTAATATCAGAGACACAGGAGGGTGTCCTTTGTCTGCTTCTTATCAGTTTGTAGACAGCTAAATTTTTTTAACTAAAGCCTCGGTTTCATCAATTATAAAATGGAATAATAAAAACTATACCTCACAGCCCTGGCTAGTTTTGCTCAGTGGTTAGAGCGTCGGCCTGTGGTCCAGAGAGACCCGGGTTCAGTTCCCACTAAGGGCTCGTACCTCGGTTGCAGTCTGTCCCCAGCCCTGGATGAGTCGTGCGGGTGGCAGCCACTCGATGTGTCCCTTTCTCTCTCTCTCTCCCTCCCTCCCATTCTATCTGAACAGAAAATGGAAAAATGTCCTTGGGTGAGGATAAAAATATATATATATATCTCCCCACCTGTTCTGGCATAAATTTAGATCATTATCTTTTAAAGGAAATCTCTCAAGATAAACAACAAACAAGTAACTTATTAGGGCAACAAATAATAAATTATACAGATATAGCCCATAATACACTACCCGAAAATTATTACCTCTGATACTGAAAGCCAGGGGTGTTTATTAAACCTCCCTCCTATCCTTCAACTCAAAGTTCTCTGGAGATGGTATTAACAAGGCAAATAATAAATCAGTGACTGAATAGACCACTAAATAAATAAATTTCTCTTCTTAGTGTTACCCTTGCATCTTCATGAAAAAAATGCTCTTCTATCCTCTGCCTAAGTAAATCAGCCTCTGCGGGCCTGTCATATAACAAACACCGATATTCCAATTGAGTTCTAAATGTACTTCCATTTAGAGGTTTTGGAAATTATCCATTTTTAAAGAGGATTGTCTATATTTTCAATAAAAACAAAAAGAAAAGGTTACAACTCCCTGAAGAACAATTCCTCAGTCAAGAGAGCATATGACACACAAAAACACATATTTAACAACATAATAGTGAAAAATTCAACATCTGGAAGCCTATGATAAACTTAATATAAAACCAGATTACCAAGAGATCACCCTTTATGTGTGAGATGGACCTACTGCTCAGACATGGCCCTTCAATGCTATTCCTCTGGAGCTGATTAGCACCAAAGGTCAGAAAACAGTACTAGCAATGCCAAGGCCGTAAATTAGAGGCAGCAGAAATTAATCTGGCTTTGGTGACTACACTCCATGACCATAAAGTAGATTCACAAATAGTTGTGCATCGCAAGAGCTAAGAAAGATGAATCGGTTTTATATCCCACATATGAGTGAAATCATATGTTTCTTAACTTTTTCCATCTGACTTATTTCACTTAGCAAAATAAGAACTATAAAATTAAAAGCAACAAATGAACAAACAAGACAAACAAAAACTCATGGCCACAGACAACAGTACATTGGTTACTAGAGGGAAAGGGGGGGGGGTGGAGAAAGTAGAAAAGGGTAAAGGAGGTCAAATCTATGGTGATGGAAGGAGACGACTTTGGGCAATGAACACACAAGGCAATATACAGATGATGCATTATAAAATTGTACACTTGAAATCTACATAATTTTATTAACCAATGTCACCCCGATAAACTTAAATTTTAAAAACAGTAAAATGAATAAAACCATTAAACCTTTATAGAAAGAAAAAGATGAATCAGCACAGAAAAATGACAAATAGAAAATATTGCTCAGTTTCAAAACCAGCTCCTTCTGTCTTCCAAATCCTCAGATTGCTGATGAAGAGCATAAACTGTATAATCCTTTTAAAAACATTACCAAGGGAAATCGAACATGCATATACCCTTGGGCCAGAAACCCGACTCACAGATATGACTGCGGCAGAGCTTCCCCGCTCAGAGCTGGGAAGGGTTTACAAGCGTGCTGAAATATGGATCCCCTCAGCCCAACTGTAGCCTAGGGCCAGTGAAAACAACCTCCTCCATCTGGTGCACTGCACCAAACAAACACTATCATTTTTAAAGTTTGCTGTGCTTTGAAACTCTTGCAAATGATTTCCAGAAGATATGTTCCTAATAGCATTTTATATAATATATTGCAAAAAAATGGAACCATTCCAGATGGCCATCAAGAGTAGAACAGATATCGCCCTGGCCGGTTTGGCTCAGCGGTTAGAGCGTCGGCCTGCGGTCCTGAGAGACCCGGGTTCGGTTTCCGCTAAGGGCGCGTACCTTGGTTGCAGTTTGTCCCCGGCCCTGGTCGGTTGTGCGGGTGGCAACCACTCGATGTGTTACTTTCACGTCGATGTTTCTCTCTCTCTCTCTCTGTTCCTCTCTCTCCCACTCTACCTGAACAAAAAATGGGAAAATGTCCTCGGGGGAGGATAAAAAAAAAAAAAAAAAAGAGTAGAACAGATATGTAAATTGTGGTATATACATACAATTGGAACACTATACAACTGTAAAAATCAATAATGGCATAATTTCAAAACTATACCATTGAACAAAGGCAAATCACAGAAAAATACATAGTTTGTTTCATTTATATAAAGTGCAAAAACTAGCAAAACTAAGCACTATGTTTTCTAGGGATGCATAAGAGGTGCTAAAACTATGGAGGAAAGCACTGGAATGGTTCATGCGAGTGGCTCATGGAACGAGGGGACCAGGGAGCTATCAGGAAGCACACACAGGGGAGCTCCTCAGGCAGTGTTTCCCAAGCGTGCTCAGAGCATGTGTAGAAGACGACAGGATTTGTAGTGCACACTCAAACCCGGAGAAGGCGGCTGAACAGAAGAGATCATCAGTTCAAGGCTCTCACCAGCCCCAGCCTCACGCAGCCACCACAATGCAAAGGGGCTCAGCACCTGCAGAACAGCAGTCAGGAAGCTCTCTCTGTTCTACGATGCCGGCTATGTTCTCAAGCGCAGTGGTGGGAACAAGGATTTTACTATTTAAATTGTACAAATTTTATGTTTCTTTTTTTTTTTTAATGTATGAGATAGTTCTAATAAAAACCAAGGTCTTAGTCAAAGTTTCCTACAATCTGGCCTGAATCCCTTCAAATGTGACCTTTCACTGTGACTCCAACAGGCCCAGTGTATCCCTTTGCCCCAAACATCACCCTCCTCCCCTCTCAGCATCTGCTTTACAATTGCACCTGGAATGCATTTCCTCCTCTTCTCCATTCTCCACTTCCTCATCACCCTGCAGGTTCGAATTCAAAGTCCACTCCCAACTAAAAGGTCTCTTCTGAAAAAGTTCACGCTCCACAGATCTCTTATAGTCTGAATCTCTCATGCGACCCAATTCTGTGCTGCTCTGCATTGCCACCTGAGCAGTGGTGCTTCTACACTAGTAATGGATCCGGACCCAGGAAACATGGACTCTAGTCCCCCAGCTATCAGACTGTGACAAGTTCTTGCACCATTTTGAGCTTCAGTCTTACCTCAAATTAATATAACACGTCCTGGCCAGGTGGCTCAGTAGGTCAGCTGGTGGGAGCGTTGTCCCATACACCAAAGGATTTCAGGTTCCATCCCTGGTCGGGATGCATAGGTGAGGCAAATAAATGATTGATGTTTCTCTCTCACATCGATGTCTGTCTGTCTGTCTGTCTCTCTCTCTCTGTCTCTCTGTCTCCCTTCCTCTCTCTAAAATAATACATATCCTTGGATGAGGATAAGAACGATAATAATTAACACATGTGAATTAAGTCTTTGACTGTTTGGTGAATATCTAATCTACACTATAGGGATATAGAAGCCAGAATCTTTCATAAAATCAGAGAAGGAATGACACATTCCATAAAAGTAAATTTCTATATAATTGAAACATATTTCTTTAACTGACACAATCTTTGGGATTTTATTTTAACCATTTTGGATGAAAATTTTTGTAAAGTGTAGATTAAAGTCCCTTCTTAGATATAAGATACAGAAGATCATCTAACCTTTCAATAATGATTTAGGGTCAGCAGAATGAATTTCAATTATTCTGCTGGAATGGAATACAGTGACTCGGTAAACTGATGTACACACAGCTAATTATAATGGCTTTCAGATTATGGCTGCTTTTGTACTTCTTGTCTTTCCACCTCACCACCAAATTACTAACATTTGACTCAATAACTCCATTCCTTTCATTTGCTATTTCTAATTCTGAGAAACGAGGTAACAGTACACAGGCCCCTTTTGCTGCAGAAGCCTTGCATGCTAGGGGACCCTTTCTCCAGGCTGAGTGATTAATCATTATGTTCAAGTTCTCTGAGGTGGCTGAATAAATTAAAGTTACCATACTTCTTTTTGCAGCATGTCATACTCACCAAGCCCTAGGCATATGTGCTCAAAAACACGAGGAATTCAAATTGCAAGCTCTCCTGATGATCTACTGTTGCAGGCCAATAATATTGTCTTCATATATGGATAATAATAGTTATTACCAGGGAGACCTCTGTGCCAGGCAATTAGGAAAGCATTTGTAATAGAAAGAAAATCACCCCTGGGAACTGTTCCTAAGCATTGCAGCAAATCTTAGCTGCAACAGATTTCCAGATTTGCTGCCTTGCCAGAAAAGATCTTTACGTAACTGCAATAACATATGCATCTATCTATCTATCTATCTATCTATCTATTTATGAAAAACAGGTACAGCTGTCTGTGCATTAAAATAAAGAGTAGCTCACGAGCCCTACAAAATGGGAATGTCTGAAGAAGAGTTTGAGACTGGCAATAAAACTTCTGGAAATATATGAAAATCTGACTGAGAAACAAGCATTTTTAGCAGGTTGTGTACAAGCTATAAAGTAAAGTTTCATTCCTACCAACTAGTAACTCCAGTTTACAAAGACCAGTTCCTAAAGCATAAATAACACAATCATAAATACATGTAACATTTCCGCCCTGGCCGGTTTGGCTCAGCGGTTAGAGCGTCGGCCTGCGGTCCTGAGAGACCCGGGTTCGGTTCCCGCTAAGGGCGTGTACCTCGGTTGCAGTATGTCCCCGGCCCTGGTCGGTTGTGCGGGTGGCAGCCACTCGATGTGTTCCTTTCACGTCGATGTTTCTCTCTCTCTCTCTCTGTTCCTCTCTCTCCCTCCCACTCTACCTGAACAAAAAGTGGAAAAATGTCCTCGGGTGAGGATAAAAAAAAAAAAAAAAAATACATGTAACATTTCCAAGAAGCATACCTCACTGAGCTGCTGAAACAAAACAGACGGCAAAAACTCCTGCAGGTGTAAATCAACCAGAGGCCCCGTCCAGTTGCTCTGAACAAACAGTTGCAAACTGCTCACACCGATTAAGAATATCAGCTGTTGTCTGTATATGAGAATAGTAAAAGAAATAAATGTGAAGCATTATCATTATAACCACCAACATACTGTTTCATTCCAGTTTTATTAAGAAAATGTAAGCCCTGGCTGGTTTGGCTCAGCGGTAGGAGCGTCAGCCTGCGGTCCGGAGAGACCTGGGTTCGGTTCCCACTAAGGGCACGTACCTCGGTTGCAGTTTTTCCCGTCCCCAGCCCTGGTTGGGTCGTGCGGGAGGCAGCCACTCGATGTGTACCTTTCACATCCATGTCTCTCTCTCTCTCTCTCTCTTCCACTCTCTCCCTCCCACTCTGTCTGACTAGAAAATGAAGAAATGTCCTCAGGTGAGGATAAAAAAAGAAAATGTAAGTTATCAACCAACATTTATTGAGAGTATCTGAGAGTATTACAAAAAAAAATTTCTGAAACCTAAACAATTGATTTCTGCAAGGTCCAAAACTGTAACCATGAGCCACATATGACTCTTTTAAATTTAAATTAATTAGCCCTGGCTGGTTTGGCTCAGCGGTAGAGTGCAGGCCTGCAGACCAATGAGTTTCGGGTTTGATTCTGGCTAAGGGCATAGACCTCGGTTGCAGTTCGTCCCCAGCGCTGGTCAGGGTCGTGTGGAATGCAACCAGTTGATGTGTCCCTCTCACATCAATGTTTCTTTCTCTCTCCCTTTCTCTCCCTCCCACTCTATTCTGAAGACAAACAGAAAAATATCTTCAGGTGAGGATTAAAAAAAGAATTTTAATAAATTAGAGTTAAACAAAATTTCAAATTCAATCCCTCAGTCACACTGTTCACATTTTAAATGCACAGGCGCCAAATGAGACTAGGGGCCACCATACTGGATGGCACAGATACAGAACACCTTTACCATCACAGAAAGTTCTTTTGAAAAGCACTGGTTTAGATCCGGATCAAGCACTTGTAACTTTTCCTGCATTTTATTTAACAGCTCTGACACTGCCGGAAGACATGTTAAACTGATTTTATATGAAAGAAAATTGACAACAAAAGTTGTTTTTAGCCCAGCTGGTATGGTGCACTAGATTGAGTGTCACCCCATGGACTCAGAGGTCCCAGTTTGATTCCCAGTCAGGGCACATGCCCAGGTTTCAGGCTTAATCCCCAGTGGGGGGCATGCAGGAGGCAGCCAATCAATGTTTCTCTCTTATATCAATGTTTCTATTTCTCTCCCCCTTCCTCTCTCTCTATAAAATCAATAAAAACATTTATTTTTTATTTTTTTATCCTCACCCGAGGACATTTTTCCATTTTTTGTTCAGGTAGAATGGGAGGGCGAGGGAGGGAGAGAGAGGAAGAGAGAGAGAGAAAGAGAGAGAGAGAGAGAAACATCGACATGAAAGGGACATATCAAGTGGCTGCCACCCTCACGACCAACCAGGGCCGGGGACAAACTACAACCGAGGTATGCGCCCTTAGCGGGAACCGAACCAGGGTCTCTCTGGACCACAGGCCGACGCTCTAACCGCAGAGCCAAACCGGCCAGGGCCATTTATTTTTTTTAAAAAGTTTTTTTTAAACAACATTTTACTAATCCTATACTACCACGTGCTGAAACAAAATACCCCTAGAAATTTCACTTGAACCTATTTTTTTTTCAATCTTGCTTTGGCTTAAGACAGAGTGGTTAAACTTTTTGTGTCAAGGGACAGATATTAAATATTTCTGGCTCTGTGGGTTATGTGTTTCTTTTTTCCAACCCTTTAAAATGTGAACACCATTCTTAGCCAATTTGCCCCATCAGCCATAATTTGCCAACCTCAGGATTAAGATAAAAATAGGTGGGGATCCACCTGGCGGTGTGGCTCAGTGGTTGGGCATCGACCTATGCACCAAGAGGTTGCCAGTTCAGTACCCAGTCAGGGCACATGCCCAGGCTGTGGGCTCGATCCCCAGTGGGGACATGCAGGAGGCAGCCAATCGATGGTCTCTCTCATTGATGTTTCTATGTTTCTATCTCTCTCTCTCTCCCTTCCTCTCTGTCTAAAATCAATAAAGAAAACAAACAAACAAACAAAAATAGGTGGGGATCCAACTCTAGAGCCAGAGGATCTGAAGTTTCATGCTGAAGAGAAAGTAAAAGCTTTCTTCTCCCTGTATTCCTTATGCCCTACCTCAAAAGATTCAATAAAAATAAAAAAATCAATCCTACAAGCCTATAGCGGCACAACTAAGAGCACAGCAAAGAAAAAGAAGCACTTTTTTCAAAGAAAAAGAGAAAATAGGTGACCAAAGAGCCTGTTTGCAGTTAGATGTTAGGAATCTTGGGTCCGGTCGGTGGACTGAGCATCAACCCATGGACTGAGAGGTCCTGGTTTGATTCCCCGTAACGGCACATGCCTGGGTTGCAGGCTCGATCCCCAATAGGGAGTGTACAGGAGGCAGCGGATTGATATTTCTCAAGTCGATGTTTCTATCTCTTTCTCCCTTCCTCTCTAAAAAAAATCAGTAAAAATATATTAAAAAAAAAAAATAACAAAAGAAGTTAGGAAACTTGGGAAAAACAAGCGTGTAGCTGGATCTTAAAGCTGTAATATAGCCATCACAACCAAAAACCAAAATCCTCAAGGCAAACTGCAAATACAGTTTCATTTTCAAATTCCTCAAAATGAGGCAATTGATATCTCTCTTCTCAGCTCTATATGACAAGCTAGAATTCTGCTCTCCCAATGAATAATGCATTTGTGTGTTTTAAAGTACACTGCAAAGCCAGTTTCTGTGATACTGCACACACTTCAGACAGAAAAATAAGAATCAAGACTGACACTGCAGGAATGTAAGGTACTAGTAAACCAGGAAAATGAAAAGGAGTGATATTAATCTTTAAAATAAGATAAAATGCCTATAGTAACATTCTTTCATGAACTCCTTATGGATACAAACTATGTCTTACTCCTCCTCACAACCTCAACACCTAGTACACTAGTTGGGTTATCTGCTGAAGAACTAAACAAAACCATTCCCTAGAAATAATGGTAAAATAAAATTGTATGTATTTTAAAGAAAATTAAAACTTGCCCCAGCCAGTTTGGCTCAGCGGTTAGAGCATCAGCCCACAGACTGAAGGGTCTTGAATTTGATTCCTGGTCAAGGACATGGGTCTCGTGTTCGATTCCTGGTCAAGGGCATGTACCTGGGTTGCAGGTTCGATCCCTGGCCCACAGTCAATGTGTCTCTCTCACACTAATGTTTTTCTCCCCCCCCCACCTCCTTCCCTCCGTTCTACTCTATTTAAAAGTCTAAATTAAATTAAATTACAACTTGATGTGGATGCCAAGTTACAAAGGAGAGAAAGAAGTATATCAACAAATTTACAACAATAAAATTTAGGTTTCACTACTGTGTGACTATTATACTTAATCCTACAAAATTACATAAGGTAAAACAAGGTTCCATAATAAACGCATTAAGTTTTCTGATCTCTAGAAAGTTGACCATCTAAAACATAATAAAAGTAGTTACAAGTATCACTCAGCAATCTAGAACTAGCAAGATGGACAGGGTATACTTTCAAGTTAAAAGGAAATAAGGGCTAAAGTCTTCTGTGGCCAAAACCCATCAGATCTAAGCATTTGGAAGCTCAGTGGGTTAGCAATTACCACTCAATTATAGCCAGTTTGATATACAAAACCCTTATATCCTACACTGCTTTACTTTTTCATCTGACAGTCCTCTGGACAGAAGTTCTTACACAGATTATTAGGTACATTATGAGTTCTGACTAAATGTAAAGCCGGGTTTTTCAATAACTGCTAAAATCAGTGTCTTACACTGTTCAAAGTTCTATTAAATGTATTAAAAGGCTGGTTCTCTATGAAAACTTCAAATAAAATTCTACCTTTGGTTTTTGTCCAAATCTGATGAGAAATCCAGGAATGTTAATATCTGCTTCTCTAGGTAGCTCTCAATCTTTTCTTCAGTCATCTTTGTTGAATTAAATATATTTTTAGTCAATGAATTTAAGAATATGGCTTCATAGTTCCCTTCTAGCAGCAATTGTAGGAAAGATCCACTCTCTGTAATATAAAAAATTAGTCCAATAATCCAAAAGAACAATTTTTTTCATACATAAAGCATAACACTATAGGCAAATCTACCATTTTAGTATGCACAAAAGTATATATACAGAATGCTTGCTATACATTAATAAAAAAGCACTGAACAAATTCCCATCATTCTACAGATATCACTTCTCCGAGATTGGCAGCTCATGTAAATGATGACTAGTAAGGTAGAAAGAAGTTAGACCCAGAAATAATATTCCTCATTAGTAATTATTCTCACCCTTCTGTTGGGAATTCAAAAAGATTCCTAACAAAAGAAAAGTTTCCATAGTCAAAGTTCTAAGACATTTCACAGTCTGGCTCCTCCTACCCACTACCCAGCTATATTCCCTTGATAAAAAGCTGGTTCACTCATTGTTCCCCAAGTATCTCATGTACATCTCTGCCTCCACACTATTACACTTGTGTTTTCTCATGCAGAGCTCTTCTCCCCTTGTCAGTATTATCCTTTAATCACAAATCAGCTCAAGTCTGACTTCTTCCATGAAGCTGTTCCAGATCAGACTTCAGAAACTACCTATCCTGAGGCACCTATTGTGTTTACACACACACACACACACACACACACACACTTATATACTGTCCTAAATGTTACTTCTCTTCTGGATCCAGCCTAAATCCCACAGTCAGATGTGCCTATATCCCACCAGTAAATGTGCCTTTTAATTCTATATTTCTATGGTAAACGTGCAATGCTCACAAGAATTACATCTTTGCTGCCTCGTTTCAGCCTTTCTGCTTACCAGCTGTGTGATCCCTTGAGTAAATTACTTAATCAGTAGTTGAATGTCTTCATCTGCAAATTGAATTTAAAGTAGCATCTACCTTAGTGTCTATTGTAAGGATTAAACGACTAAACAAAATGTTAGAAAGGAACTGATACTGTCATTGTTATTTCCGAATCTAGACGGTGAGAAGTTTGGGATCAAGACAAGCACGGAGCGGAGGACCACGCCTACCATGTCAAGGAAGAAACCCAAAGCTTTAAGAAATCAACAAGATTTTGGTAGGAAAAAAATAAAACAGAGGGATGAGAACCCGGCCACCGCCACCCCTTCCCCTCACAGTCCCCACGCTGGCCTAGGTCCCTGGCAAGCGCGCCTCTCTCACCTGAGCCGGCGACTCCCTCCTGCTTCCACTGCTGCCGCTCAGCCTCAGTGGGGAAGCCCCTCAAAACTGCCAGCTCCGGGGTCCACGTCACTCCGGACATTGCCGCAGCCAAAACGATTTCCAAAAGGGTCACACAGGACCCTCAAAAGAAAATGAAAGGAGGAGGGTCCAGAGACGCCGAAGTCCAGCGGTGACCGTTGCTGTGGATACACTCACAGGCTAGAACCCCACATGCGGATACCAGCCCATGGAGGCGGCCATGACAGCAGCGCGGGGCGCCCTGGGAAAAACACACAGACTCCACAACGGCTTCCGCCTGCAACTCCAATCCAAATCCACGATACTGAGCATGCCCCGTGGGGAGGCCCCGCCCCGAGCGGGGAATGGGCGGGGCTGGGGGCGCGGCCTATCTCAGCCCCGCCCCAAGCGGCTGCCGCCAGCTGTAAGCCCTGGAGTCCTTTATGCACCGCTCACGGAGGACACGGGTTAAAGTGCCGCTCTCAGCAGCGCTCTTCTAACCGCGGCTTCGCTGCGCGGCCCACCGCTGTAATTCCTAAACCTTCTGAGGTCTGAACCCTCCTAACCCGATGAAAGACGTAGTCCTTTCCGCAAAGTGCATGTGGGCCCTTACTACCAATGTTTGCGTACCATTTATGGAACTTAGAGATCCTGGGCAGTGTAGTCCGTGAACCCCAGGTTAAGAACCCCGGCAGCGGAGAAGTTTTTATTCTTTGAATGGATTAAAGTATAAGTATCTAGTTTTGACGCTGCCACTACATGAATTATGCCCGTCGGGGACAAGTGGCCCAGCCGCTGACGCAGGGAAGGTTTGGAGGATAGACCGAACGCTACAGAAACCTGCCACCCTGCGTGCTTGCTGCTGAAGACAGGGCGCCTTTAATCTTCATATTAGCACTCTAGGTGAAAACCAATCTCTGGGTGCCAGGATGTGGCTGGTGGACTGTGCCCCCGTCGGCTTGAAGCCTGCACTGTGAGTATCCATACATTATCAGGAGAAAGCTGCAGGATAACCCTCACCATACAGATTCATGGAGGAATTTAGGGCAATACATATCTGAAAGGACCCCACTCCAAGGAGGAAGCAAAACGATTCTTTTTTTAAAATTTAGTTTTCAGTTACAGTTTACATTCAATATTATTTTGTATTAATTTCAGACATACAGCATATGGTTAGACAATCACATACTTTATAAAGTGTTTCCCCCTGTTATTTCCAGTACCCAACTGGCATACATAGTTATTACATCATTATTGACTATATTTCTTGTGCTGCATTTTACGTCCTAATGACTGTTCTGTAACTACAAATTTGCACTTCTCCATCCCTTTACCTTTTGTGCCTAGACCCCCAAACTCCCTCCCTTCTGAATCTGAGTCTGTTTCTGTTTTGTTTGTCATTTATATTATTCTTTAGATTCCACATATAAGTGAAATCATATGGTATTTGTCAGGAACAATGCCACTAAGGTTCACACAATCTGGGCTTGATCCAACCTGCCCTGTTTAGGGACATGTCATTTCTCCCTTGACTCTGAAATTCTTCTCTGAATGTGTTAGAACCTGCCCTGGGTGCTGTGCTTTAAAGACCTCCATATATCATAAACACGAGAAATCAAAAAATACCTGAGAGTTCCTGTCACTTAGATCCAGTGACATAGGGTGACCTTGAACAGCTGCTCTCTTCATTTACATGGTTCGGGCTCCAGGAAAAAAAAAAAAAGGCATCTCCACATCTTATCTATGTCCTTGAAAAAAAAGGCTCCTGAGTGCAACAACCGCTATAAAGGTTCATGGGTTGTACTGTGTAGGTAATGTGGGAAACGGGCACTGATGAATCAGAAAGACAGGGAGGATTTGCGCTGCAGAAGCTCCCTCTTGGCATGAATGCAACAGATTCTTGCAGAATCATTATTTCCCCGTCGTGATGTACATCCACACACAGGAGAAGGATATATGAAGATGGTGGCAGAGGTTTGAGCGATGCATTCCCAAGCCAAAGAATGCCAGCAACACTCAGAAGCTGGAAGAGACAGAAAGTGGATTCTCCCCTAGAGCCTTCAGAGGGAGCATAGCCCCGCCAACACCTTGCCTGTGAACTTTTGGTCTCCAGAACTGTGAATAAATAAATTTGTTATTTTAAACCACAGAGTGTGTGGTAATTTCTTACAGAAACCCTAGGAACTAATGCAAGTATTAAAACATAATTATTTTGTAAAAATAAAATCAAGATACATTTTGTGAAATATATAATGTTAATTATGTATGTATTCATTTCATTATTTAGCCAAACAGTACTGGCCAATCAATAGAATACTTCAACGTGCCCAATAACTAAATTCTTTTTATTAAATATTTTGATGACTAGGATTTCTATTAAAAAAAAACAACACATTTTTGTTATGAAGATACATTTGTCAAAGTGGGATAGGACATATATCACATCATACTTTGGTTACTAACCTAAACATTCAGACAGATGTCATGTGCATCTCCATTTGTATCTTGCCTCTTAGCCTGTAAATGCTGTGGGCAGACTTCCATGTGACCTGACACTTTTACAGTTTGGAAAATGGAGAATCCTCCCTGTTGTGATTCCAGTTTGGAGTCTGAAGACACCTCTCTATCCAAGTGATCAATGTGATCAAGATGACCTCTGTTTTTGTGCATTAAGAGGAAAGCCACTTCAAGGTAACATCAGACCCACAGACATCCTGTCACAAAATTGTACATATATGGCATGGGAAGGGCTTTTCCCTCATGTAGGAGAAAAATTGCTTAAGTTTGGAAAGAGCCTCAAGTTCAGGAGTTAAACTAATAGAGTATAACTATCATCATCAAAATGTTTTTAGACCCTCAGTATTACCAAAGTCAAATGAACCCGAGGCCCTGCCACGCTCTGACCATCTTGCGCCAAGACTGAAGCATCAGTGCAGTATTTGGGCCAGGCTCCTCATTCCAGTCCTCTCATACCCTGGGGCTGCCTGTTCCAGCTCTGAGTCTATCTAGCTCTCCAAGGTCTGCAATCCAGTCTGTTCCCATGTCCAGGGTGACCCTTTGGGCATGTCTCTTTCCATCTTGGAATCTTGGTCTAACCAACCTTATTATCTCCCAAGATTTGAAGCTGAGGTTCAGCAAATTGATACTATTCCAGCACCTATATAAGGACATACCACTGTTAACTTTTAATTGTGGAAAAGTATATAGTATGGTGAAAAAAAACTGCAACTGTAGAAGACTGTCTATTAAATAAGCTGATTTAGTTTGGGAATCAACCCTCACTTGAGTTCTTTAACACAGCGCTGCTCAAGTCATGGTCCATGGACTACCACTGGCAATAGGCTAAGTCTAGAAATGAATAAACAATGTAACAATGCTGCAACATTTTCATTCTATTTTACAAAGTATTTGAAAAGAAGGGGTAACCAAAACTGGCCTTTCATCAGTTTAAGACACACTAACTGGAACATCTCACCTAATCCCCTTATCCTACATAATCTAAATTATAGGACATCAAAGTTCACAGTACTTTCTACATTTGTCCGACTTTGGAGCTACTGGTCTTAATGCAAAAATAGTATATATGCAGTTTATTTCTGAACAATTGGCTTTACTCTTTGTGAATTTCTTCATATCCTCTGTATATGCTCTTGGACCTAGGCCATCCTGTGTCTGCTGGCCTCTGGTCCATCCTCCTCCAAGGCCTTCACACTCACCCTTCCCCCACTGGCTCCTCAGTCTGTAAACATACTGGTTATTCTGACACCAATAAATTTGTATTTCCCCAAGTTCTGCCCATTGTCTCTTCTTCTCCACCCCTCTGATTGTCCTAGTTTATGACCTGCCACCTGGACTCCAGGGTGGGCTCTTAATTGATCTCCTTGACTCCCAACAGCTGGCAGAATGATCTTCCTGAAACACAATCTGTTTCCCTAATTAAAACCCCATGAAAGCTGTCCAAAAGGATGAGGATGTCAAAACTCCTTAACAGGACAAAACAGGTCTTCCATACCCAAGCTCCTATCTTTCCACTACTACAGCCCACATCCTATTTGACTATCTTCTTTTTCACTTAAAATCCAATAGTATCTAATGTGGTGCCATTAATTCTAACTCAAACTCTCCTTTTGCTCTCCCCTGTCTGGAACAGCTTCTTTCTCCCTGGTTAATTTATTTTCTTAAAAAAAGAAAAAGATTTTTAATTGATTTTCAGAGAGAAGGAGGGAGAGAAACATCAATGTGAGAGTAAAACAATGATCAGCTGCCTCCTGCATGTCCCCTACTGGGGACTGAGCCTGCAACCTGCACATGTGACCTGACCAGGAATTGACACAGCAACCTTGCTGTGCATGGGGTGACACCCAACTGAGCCACACTAGCCAGGGGCCTGGCTAATTTCTTTATCCTCACCCTCCAAGATTCAGGATATTTTTCTTCAGGTAGCTTTCTCTGACCGTATCATCTCATGTCCATCAGCATTTTACCTGAAGTGTCCACCCTCTGTGCTCCCAACAGTACCCTGTAACTAACGCTATCAGAGAACGTGCCATTTTGCCCTGACATTATGTTTTCATGTGTGTCATTCAATTCTCATGTGCAGGAACCTGTATGTAGTACACAGTGCTCAAACATTTGCTGGCATCAAGTCTGGATCAAGATGGAGCAATTTAATGTAATTGGTCTCAAATTTAGATTTTCAGACCTTGTTTTATTTATTTTATTTTTTTTTATCCTCACCTGAGGACATTTTTGCATTTATCTTCAGATAGAGCGGGAGAGAGAGAAGTGGGAAGAGAAACATCAATGCAAGAGAGACACATTGACTGGTTGCCACACACACGACCCCAACCGGGTCAGGGGACAAACTTGTAAGCGAGGTACGTGCCCTTAGTGGGAACCAAACCCGGGACTCAGGCTGACTCTATAACTACTGAGCCAAACGGGCCAGGGTTCAGGCCTTGTTGTTTTTTTTTTGTTTTTTTGTTTTTAAAAAAAAAAAAAGGATGGCCGGTTTGGCTCAGCGGTTAGAGCGTCGGCCTGCGGTACAGAGAGACCCGGGTTCGGTTCCCGCTAAGGGCACGTACCTCGGTTGCAGTTTGTCCCCGGACCTGGTTGGTCGTGCGGGTGGCAACCACTCGATGTGTCCCTTCACATCGATGTTTCTCTCTCTCTTCCTCTCTCTCCCTTCCGCTCTGTCTGAACAAAAAATGCAAAAATGGCCCTGGCCAGTTTGGCTCAGCGGTTAGAGCGTCGGCCTGCGGTCCGGAGACCCGGGTTCGGTTC